AAAATATATATGAAATAAGAGCAATTAAAACGTCAAAAATCGCTGGGACGTGGTTGCTTTGACTAATGACGTTTAATTAATGCCTTGTTTTCCTATATATCCATTTCTTAGTTGTTACCATGGAGAGTGAAAAAGAAAAAATAGTTGAGTCGTCTGCTGAAAGTAGTTTTTCATTGCCCCTTCCTCCTGAGCCGAAAAGAAGGGAGCTTGACATTAGCAAATGTATCATTTGCCAACAATCTCGAGGGAGTGAGCCTCTAAGGACGGGCAAAGATTCTTCCGTTATCAAGCTCATATCCTCAGCACGACACATTGTTGACTTTGAGATCGATTCCTAGAAGCCTTTCCTCGTTCGCCACTTCTTCTAGCTCACTGTCCTCGCTCACACTTTCATCGGGTGTATTATATTCTTCTCCTTAAGCAATTTCCGGCTCAAATTGATAAAGAACAGCCATACTTCCATAGCGAAATTTGGTTGATTCAGCTCCAGCTATCCAACATGTTCCACTATCTGACGTCATCACACCTTATTCATCCCAAGCCATCAAATCCGCGATATTCCACAGGGAGCCCAGCTTAAGTCATTTCGCAACTTTGACGGAYGATATCACCCCAAAAAACGCATTTMWTGGAATTTTCATTTCGATTTTCAAAATCAACAAGGTTTGATGTACATTTTAAGCTATGATGTGCCTGGCACCTCAGAGTCCCTTTAAGGGGGGTCACCTATTTACCAGCCATGGTTTCTATGTGGAAATATTAAAATATCTCGGAGGTTTTACTTATGTTTTACGTATACACTTATTTCAATAAAGTTAGTCACCAAAAAACCTAGAAAGCTGAGATCCCTGAGGATCATGGGAAACTTTTAATATCAAACAAGTAAAGCTTTTGATACAATTTGCAGCTTGAGGATGCTCAGAAGAGGTGAGACTGTAACTGGTAAAAGTTCTTAAATCCATCAACAGTTATTAAAGCGGTTGAAACATGTAAAATATAACTACCCATAATCCTTGTTGGTCTCAGCTTTGTAGCTATTCAGGCGACTAACTTTGTTGAAATAAGTGTAAACAAAAACATTTTTGAAATGGATCGTTTTCTGTGTGATGACGTCATCATCCTACGTAATTTATGACCTCATATTTCTTTTTTTTACTATAAAAAAAGTATGCATTTCGTCGGTTTGACCCAAAAACAAGCAAAATTATAACTTCTAAACTTCTATCCTTGAGGTGTATGGGTACTGACTCTAGAAGAAGTCATTAGAAAACATTCTTAGAAAGCTGTTTTATACAGAATTTAAAGCTGATTCAAAATAAAGAAAGAAAAATGGGTTGTCACGAGCTTTTTCAAGATACCGAATTTGAGTATAACCATCTCAGTTGACAAGTTTTCAAAAGAAAAATTTCGAAAACCAAGATTCTTGCAAAACAGTCATAACTTGAAAACTAAAAAACCTATACTTAGATAAATATAATGTTACATTTTTCACTAGCTGAAAGGGAAATGATATTTTTCAGAGTTTCCCTTTCAGCTAGTGACTAATATAAAATTATTCTATACTTTCTTCCAAGCTTACAAACCATCATAAAAATACTGGTCGAGGTATCTATAAGGTTTTGTGTGGAGCTCGAGAGTGAAGTTTTTAATATATAATGTCTCATTTACAAGTGGTATCTAGATATTGATAACTTGAAACCGTAGCGTTGGAAACGAAAATATGGAAAATATATAACATTGCAGAAGCTACAAAATAAACGACTATTAGGGGGAGAAATGAGTCCTGCTGAGCCAAACATTATTAATTGGTATATTCACTAACAATATTTTTTATTTCATTGCCATACGCATTGAAAATAATGGATAACAAGGCGGTCTTCTGTTATATCATTACTTTTGGTCATGTGAAGTGCTGAAGCTGCAAATTTAAAGCCTAAGAAAGTCGTTATACACTTCAAGAGCTGGAAAAAGTTTTAATAATGAATTAATCATGTTTTTTTCGGCTGTAACTTCCCGCTTTAAAACAATTCAATGAATATTGATTAGGACTGAAACACACTGTTGGTTTAAAAATAGAAACAGCTCACCAGAAGATTTAGATCCATATCACTGCCGGCAATTTCTGAGCTGCTTACTCCTTTCTAGACGTATATACTTCGGTTTTTCATTTTGCTTAAAGATGAACTTCCAAGAACGATGTACACTTGCGGCCTTGCTGTTGGTTTTACCTG